GACTACTCCCTGGAAAATCAGAGCTACTCCCTGGGACTACTCCCTCATGAATATTTATTAGTAATTTTAACCAATCAAAGTATTCAGTGGGCGGAGCATTCAAGGAATCTCGAGTCTGTGACGTCATGTTATTAGCAATGTAACTATGACGTCAAAACATTTCGACATGCGATGTCAAAATCATACTTCAATCAAAATGAAGACAACGACAATTCTTCGAAATGTCAAAGAAAATACTTTTTAAAAATAATTTAATTGTTTTAGGACAGGATACATTACTTATCATACAATCTGTTAAACCGCTTGCATTGAATTATGCCTGTACAGTGTGTTTTTTTTAAATGTCGGAATATCTGGTAAAAACAAAAGAAATTAAATCGCCTATCATTGTTTCGGTATAATAAAACAGTTATGGAATGGGAACTCGGGAAATAGCAAATTTATGGTTCCCCTCGGAAGGAAACTATTTCCCTCGGCGGCTTCGCCGCCTCGGGAAATAGTTTCCTCCCTCGGGAAACGATAAATTTGCTATTTTCCTCGTACCCATTCAATAACTGTATACTATGACACGCCAAATTCACAAAAATAAGCTAATTATAGTTTCACGGGCGATAAACTAGGTTTATCGGTTGTAAAATATAGTTTGCGGACTGTAAATTATAGTTAATAACGTTATCCGTATTTGACATCTGTAAACCATAGTTAGCGCGATAAACTATATTTCACAATAGTTAACTATACTTAACACTGAAAACAATCATTTGCGATTGCAGAACATATTTTATCTGATAATGCAAATTAATGATTTGTAAAGTATGGTTTAAATCTCTATAATATGGTTTACAACTATAATTAAAGATCTGATAAATATTGTTTCACAATTTGTGAAACTACGATTAGCAGCTCTTACATGTAACTATAGTTTACGATTGTAAATTATAGTTACAAACGTGAATCTATGTTTATCAACAAAATCTATTGTTAACGTTATATTACAGACAGACAGACTTATATAAAAAATCGTAAACTATAATTAACAACCGTTAAATATAGTTTTACAGATGAAAACTATAGTTAACGAATAGTTAACGTCATTTTGACGTTACAACGTTGAGTACACTCTAGTATACCTGACGGCGACGTTGCGTCAACACGTAGAGCATTCGGGCAATTGCATACAAAAAATTAAATATTCTTAGCCGTATTAAATATGGTATGTCATATTAAACCTTTGTTTCTTACTTTCATAAAAAAAAAATGAGCATGATAAAGATACAGATCAGAGTTATCAATGAAACAGCGCATAAGCGAAAATGTACTTATTGACTTCGCATAAAATACAAAACCTTAAATTAAGTGTACTTTTTGTCTGTTTCTTTTTAACTTGACTGTTATATAGACGATTTGATTGTAGATTTATTTTCTTCATGCAAAATATGACGTCACAGTCGTATTCATTTACAAACAGAGCGGAGGTTCCCGAAAGTGACGGGGTTTGGCGATACTTCCCACGTACATCAATCTAAAAAAATACAAACAATTCTTTTTAGCAATTGTTGTTCAAATATGAAAATTTGATTTGTGATGTAGTCAGCATGTTGTCATTTCCTTTTTGTGCTGTTCGGCTTTCTCCCTGTCAGACATTTTAGTAACACTTTTCCATAAAAGATGCAAAAAAGTGCAAGCCTTGGTGTTATCCTAGAAAAGCAGAACCTTTATTTTTTTGTATAAAAATTTGTGATTTATAGATTTATATGAGAATTTAACAATTATTTTGCAAAGAAAATAATTACATGATAAGATTTTGATTTTTTTTTTCAAATTGCAAATTTAGCTGTTGAAGAAGCAGATAAAGAAGGGAAGGCACTTTTGAGTGTTATGGATTTTGGAGGGCAGTGTGCCTACTACGCCTGTCATCAGGTCTATCTCAGTAGAAGAGCTTTCTATCTACTTGTGATAGATATGTCTAGGTCGTTTGATGAGAAAGTTGACCCAAAGCTGTGTGAACAACAGGGGACTATGTTTGCTGACTGGACAAATGGTGGTAAGAGGTTTATTTATTAATTAAAAATACTTTTTGTTATGAGAGTGATAGGCAAACTGTTCTATGTATTTCAAGAAATAGAATAAATCACGAAATTCTTTAAACGTGATTGTCAGAGATGTTATATTTTAATTCGTGCATACAAGAAGCGCATTGCCTATTAAATGCTATCGCTGTGTTTGTTTATTTGTTTGTCTAGTGTGAATATTTTGAGAGATCATGTGATATTTTATTTTTGTATTTACACGTCTTTCCGATTAAATGACCTAATGTGACTTAATGCTAACCAATAACTGACCGTTTTAATCTTAATAATATGCATGTTCTCACCTAGTATATAAGCACAGTACCCGCCAAATTCCTGACCCCTACACTTATTGCTTTTACGGCAGAAGCGTGTAACTGAAAATATAACAAATTATTCTTCAAAGTAATAATTTGGAGTTTATTTAACTGGATATCTGGTAAGGTTTCTATTTACCTTTACTATAATTATTGTATAAATATCTTTTATAATTTACATTTATTAATTAATCCCGACAACTAAAAATCATATTATGTATTTGTTGTTAATGTTTGCTATTAAATATATAGTATTTATTTTGTGTGTGTGTTTGTGTGTGTGTGTGTTTAGTATTGTGTTGTGAGAATGTTTTTAATGTATACTTTGTAGGTTTTTTTTATTTTAAACACGTACATAAATCCTTTCTGTGTCGAATCCAGTGTTGGATTTTTATCCAACAAAAGGCCCAATGTAATTTATCTTAATAAAATAAGTATTTTGACAGCCCAAATACCCTTCAAAGTATTTCCCAATAACAGTTTTGAAAACATCCGTCAGCCAAGGCTGTACAGTAGGTTGTAGAAGAGGCAGAATGACGCACCGCGTGGCCAGAGTGTTATTTGTTACATTTTGATTAGTCGAGTTATGTCTATTCTAATACATGCAATAAACTTACCAATATAATTATACATCGCTAGGCACTACTTCAGCCCGTTATGCAAATTATCCCATGTTTCCCACTATCGTTGATGCCCTGGCATACTATACGAACTAGACAGTGATTCCTTAAATATACTGAGTAATTTTTTTAAATAAGCCAAATCAAGAACTTTTTATTTCTAATGTAAATTGACAATAAGAATTTTAAACGTATTTCTGAACATATCAATTACGAATACGACTCATACATTTTTTTAACTTATCGCATGAAATAAAAGAAAATACAAAGCGCTTGCTTCAATGTTTTTATGTGCTACATAAAAAGACAAATGATTTACTGTAAACCAACTTTTATTCGCGTGCGAGAAATTTTCGCGATGTTCGCGAGAGCCTTGTCATTGCGAATATTCCTCGCCCTGAAGCGGTCCTTAAAGTCTGTGTGTTAATTGAAAACATCGGCTTGATTGCGAAAATTAATCGTCGCGATCTAGTTTAACCCTGGTAAATCGCGAAATAAAGTCGTCACAAATAAAAGTTGGTTAACAGTTATGTCAGAGGCAGCAAATTTTGGTTACTAGTAATCTATTTGTTTTATATCTATCGTTACCTTTTACTAAAAGCTTTAATGACTTAATTTTGTTTCATTCGGCTACACTGATCAAAGTTCTATTAAAAACTAGGGATGGCAATTTGTAACCGGTTAATTGATTAATCGGTCGGAACGATATTAATCGGTTTGAAAATCCGTATTCCGTTAGTCGGAAAAAATTAAATATTTGTAAATTTAAGCGCAGTTTCGTTATAAATCCCTTGGTTTTTTTTTCTCAGAAAACAATAAGCGCTGCATAGATTATTTTATACAGTGTTTTACACATCTTATAATTAAGAATATTTGTAGGTAATTATAGCTCTCCAGATTGAGATCGAAGGGTAATTGGTCAATTCGTTAATTGTTGATTACTGTTTTAAAACTTTATGCCGTTACCCAGATAGTCCTGTGTTTTTTAAATGATATTAAAAACATTACAGTTGAGCACTTTTAATTATAGTAAGTCTATACTTATTTTGCTGTTATCTATTTTAAAAATTATATTATTATATAAAACGTTGTAAATTGTAAGTAAAGTGAGAGTTCAGACACGGACTATAGTTTTGATTATGATGCAAAGGCAGAACTTCTTTAACATCTGCGCTGGAAAATTACCCCTGTCTGATTTTTCTAGCAAGATTCATGGTTTTATTAATTTTTTCTTGTCTATTGAAATTGAAATAAAACAAACTCTTATGTAAATAAACAGAATGTGACTTCCAACGTTGCGTTTTAGCCTTTTTGTGTATGAAAAACAAGTCAAAATGTATATCTCGATACGACTTTCCAGTTACTCCCTAATCGGTCGAAACGTTTTGCGGTTAACCGATTAGCAATTCTGCAATCGATTGCCATCCCTATTAAAAATATATCTTTTTTCAAGGCCGATAAAATGAAATAATTCTAAACCTCAATTAAACGTCGATCTGATCAATATAAAGTGCCAGTTAATTAATGTCATTTGAAAACATGGGATAATTTTCTCATCGATTGACGCTACAGGTCCATGTAGATAAAACTCCTCCACTACCTATCACCCCTTTTGTATCAAAGAAAAAATCGTGAAAACCCCAAGGTAATCATTCCACACAAGAAACGCTGACAATACATTATTATATTTAGTTGGCTGAACCTGTGGACAAAGCTTTTTTTTTGTCGTTTATGTCATCAGCATACAAAACAATGTACATGAAATAAAAAAGTTACTAGATAATTAAAATGGTATTTATTAGATAAAAACTACATGAAGAATTCTTTATTAGTCCGTGAGATATTCACCTGCATATGAGCCATTTGCCTTTCAATTGTCAAAATTTACATTTTTTTAATAAATATGGAGAGATCGGCACACTTGACATTTAGGGAGCAAACACAGAAAAAGAGTCTGAATCTAAACATAATTTCATCAGCCTTATTTTACACAGAGTACATCCTTTTTTGGCTGAAGTCTGTCCACACCTATTGTGAAAGTAATGCTCCAGTTGTCATCATAGGAACTCATTTTGAAAAAGTAAAAGGCCAGGTATTCTTGAAAATATTTTTTTTAATGTAATTTGAAATCATGCCTTCCATTCCTTCGTAGACAAATAATTCATTACTAAAACAATTACACAAACTTTTAAAAAAAAAAGAAACAAATTTTGCGTTTAAATTCCTTTCTAGTAAAAAGAGATAATATTAATCTATGTGTCTTCTGTAGAATTCTGACACGTTCTACAACGAAATACTGGATCACCTGCAGTTCAACAAACATTTGAAAGGACACTTGGAACGAAAGAGATGTTTTGTGCTTGGTTTCCATACAGATGGTACACCTTTTTACGATACACTTTCTGACTTAGAAAAGTGTATTATTGAAATTGCGAGGGAAGAAAAATGGAAAGAAAACATTCCAACCGACTGGGCTTTATGTGAGGTTGTTTTTCGAGAATTGAGAAAACATGGGTCAAAAATGATAACAGTTAAAGAATTATCCAACAGATGTTTCGGTGAAAATGAAGCAAAGAGTGCGCAAATCAAAGACGTCCTGAAATTTTACCATGATATCGGGGTCATTCTATACTTTAATGAGGCTGCACTTTCTGACACAGTAATCTTGGATATCCAGTGGTTCATTGATTCCTTCAAGAACATAATTACAGACCCGAACCACGTCAGGGATTTTGCAGAAAACAGGCGTGATTGGATGGATTTTTACACGAGTGGACATATCTTAGACACTCTTTTGACAAACATATGGAGATTGAAAAACTTCGAATTGGATTTCTGGAACAGATACAAGCACAAAGAACATCTTCTCCAATATATGGAACGTCTTGGTTTAATTGCTGTTGGTACAGTAGCTCATTATATTCCCTGTACGAATAAGCGCACATTTGGAAGTGCCGAGGAAAACTATTTTCACTCTTTGGAATACAAAACGCCTGTGTTGGTCTTTCGATTCGAATTCTTGCCATATTTTATTTACTTCCGCCTGATCGTTTCCTGCTTGACAAGAACCAACAGAGAATGGAGAGTTTTACAAGACAATGGACTTTGTCTCTACAAAAACATTGCTTGTTTTGCCTATAAGCAGCATGCGGTTGCCTTGGCCGTTAACCCTTCCTCCATACAACTTCAGGTTTTTCAACCGACAAATACCCCGGTTACAAAAAACATTGTATTGGAAGTTCGAAATATTATCACTGATTTATTGAATGATTTGCTCGAGAATTTTCACAAAAAAATCGACATGTACACTGTTGGATTCCAATGTTCAAAGCAGGAAGTATTTCACGAACATGATGATTGTTTTGTTAAAGAAGAAGAGTTGTTAAAGAAGGGAACTATGCTGTGTCCAAAACATGAACTGAATAACAGCCACATACTAAGTGAATCTGTTCTGCTATTTTACTGGAATGTGGTAATCACCATTAGTGTTCAATATTTAAATACTATTTCTAAAAAATGCACACAATTAATTATATTGAACCGAGCCTAGTGTAAGAGCGTTGGCTTCGTGATCGGAATGCCCGGGTTTGATACTCGTTTGCGCCGCCGTATCAAAGCTAAGACGTAAACAAATCTAATGACTGTTCCTTTGCCTTGCCTTTAGCACTAGAAAGTCACCGGTCTTTCACATATACCCTAAAAACGTAGGTCCCGATAGGCGCCGGCACGATAAAGATAATCACTTCTCAATGGTCCTCAGTGCCGAGTATAGATGTAACTCTGAAGGCTTCACCAGCATAAAGTGAACTCTCTATATGAATGAAAAATTCTTGAGAGGGACGTTAAACATTATACAATCAATCAATCAGTTACTCGTTGAATTCATCTTGCATTAAATAAAATAATTTTTCATTCTCATAATCACATTAATTTCATATAAATTGATATTGATTGATTGATTGTATATTGTTTAACGTCCCTCTCGAGAATATTTCACTCATATGGAGACGCCACCACTTGCCGGTGGAGAGCTGGAAATTTTGTCCTATGCTTGGCACTCAGGGCTATTGAGCAGGGAGGGATCTTTTTCGTGTAAACTACCTATGCGACACGGGACCTCGGTTTATACGGTCCCATCCGAAGGACCGGTCTCCACGTCCCATAGTGGGATTCGAACCCGCGACGTAAGGACTGACTCCTCACTTCGCGACTTTAGAGCAAACGCTCTAACCACTGCGCCACGCGGGCGACATAAATTGAGATAAGAAGACTTAAATCAGCCTATTATAAATTTTGTTCAAGTCGTCTTACTTGAACATTCTAAAAAATTACATAAATACTTTAGACATTTTAAAAAGAAAAGTGTTTTGACGTTTTTATTCATTTCATTTGGTTTATTCGCTAATTTTGGCAATTCCATATGAGTGAAAAATTTTCGAGAGGGGCGTTTAACAATGTACAAGCAATCATTCCCAAATTTTGAAAAAATCTAATACAGCAACTCATAGTTCATGTTTTAGTTTCAATTCGTTGTACAAACCATGCGCGGATCTAGAGGGGGGGTCAGGGGGTCAGGACCCCCCCCCCCCCCTCGGAATTTACCAGGTTAAAAACGTACATACTAAAACAAGGAAAAAGTTACCATGGATTCCCTTGGAAAACGCAGACCCCCCGGTATATGTGTAAAATGGGTATGAAAAGTTAAAGATTTGAGGCAAAAAAAGAAAAGAAGTCACCACTAACCCCCCCCCCCCTACGAAATAGGTTTTTGACGTTAGGGGGAGTGTTACTTTACGTTTTTTTTTTTTGCTTGTCAAGAAATTTCTGGGATTGGAATTTTTTTTTTGACTGAGGTGGACCCCCCCCCCCTGGAAAAAAATTTCTGGATCCGCGCCTGCAAAGGACAATTTAAGAATACCGTTACATGACTCAATGATTGATCAGTTATTGCACATTAATTAAAAATCATGACTATTCAAGGTGAAAGTGACATAAAGTTCTGCATACTAAAATAGCGATGGAAAAGAAAATTATTGCTCAGCAAAATATATATTTTTATTAAAAAAAAAAAAAAAAAGAAAGAAAGAAAATACAGACGGTTTAAATATAACCATTTCATGCGTTATTTTTCTGAGCAGGGTGGGTAGATCCGTACATTTCTGGATATTGCCAAACCCTACATATAAAACACTTAAAAATCATACCGTTAAAATTGTCTTCACATTCTTATATCATATGAAATATTACGAGGGCCGTTCAAAAATTACGCGGACTGCGCTATTATTTACTCTTACAGACGTCATATAGTTATAAAATTTCACAGAAATATGTATCTTACAGATTCCAATAAATTTTGGGCAAAATTTCTGTATTTTAAAAAAATTCTACTAAAATTATCGGTATGTTGATATCGTTGATGGTGAGGTATGGCGCAGGACAAAAAAAAATTGAAGCAAATGCATGCGGATTCAAAAATTTAACTCATTGAATTTCTAAAATTCGCGATATTTTTCAACAATTTTCCCAAATGTACCTATAAAATGTTTTATTATTATGTATTTAGATTTCGGACGTAATATTTGAAGTACTAACAGAAATATAGTGGTTTTTCTCTGATGCGATTCCCGTGAAAACGACTGTGAAAATGACGTCTCCTGAATAGATCCAAAATATGCATTATAAAACATGTAGTAAACTAGGCTACTCGTAACATTCGCCCACAAATAGCAAATTGAAATTTTAGACTTAGAACTCTGTAAAAAGGCTATACGGGAGGACGGAAAGAAGATTATAGACGAAAAGTTAACTTTATCCGGACTGTAAAGAACGTGATTGAGAGTCACCAATATCACACTATATCTCATTAGTAGTTTTTGGTTTTAAAATAAAAAAAAGAATATTCTTTACTTGTTTAATAGATTTTAAGTTTGACAAGAAATGGTGTTTTGATGTTGAGTAGATAAGGTAACTCTATACAGGTACTCAAGGGAAAATGTTGAGAAAATGAAAGCTCAATCACATAATTTTTATAATGCTTGTGACGTCGAAGATTTTGCTGCGCCGTGACTTAATGGTATGTCCTGAAAAATCACTCAAAATAAATATCAATTTACAACATTTTGAAGACCATAAAAGTAAAAATTCTTTTATATTATTTGTGAAATTTTGCCCGATTATGTCGTCAAATATTTTTTCTGTGCAACAAGTCAGCGTAATTTTTGAACGCCCCTCGTATTTTGAAAATTTATGCTTTACTACCGATACTGATATATCTAATATAATTCAAACGTTTGTTTTATACATTTCAGGATGTACTTGCTGAGTCAATAGGTATTTTTTTTAATCTGAATATATTTATTTTACTTGCCATGAAATTAATGAATGAGGACCCTGAAATCTCTTTCAGTGGAATTATATGCACTTCTTTTCTACTTCAGACCCAGACTCTCTAGTTCAAAAAGGGAGTTATGGGAAGCATTCTGAACCTGAAATGAAAACATGTAGCTTCCAGTGTTTCGAAAAACTCACAAAAATCGGCAGAGAAGCTCTTCAGAGATACTTTGACAAAGTCTTCCCTCCAGCGGAGCTATTTATGTTACTTCAGAAGGAGAAAAGTAACTTAAGTAGACAGTTCAATACAGACCAATGTGATCTACTGTATCCAGGTCTTCCGGAATTTAGGGACGCACACAGCATGCATCTACACAAACTCTATAATGTACCATTCCCACTGATATTTTCATATTGATTCTGATTTTGTTTTTTTTAAATTTAAGTCTCACGAAATGCTCTTGCTTAGAAAATCAGCATACGTTACGAACAGTTTATACTACATCAAAATGATTACAGCGCTAGTTATTTTTCTTAAAGAAAAATGTCTTGAATATAATTTTGGATTGTATTTAAAAAATTATTAAGAGGAGTTGGCAATATTAGCAGACATCATAACAGTTTAAAAGGTCTTTCAATAACTGGAACTTTTACATAAAACAGGGAATAAGAAAAAAGATAAACATACCCTGAGTTTATCCTCGAAACTTTATTGGTTGCTTTTATTTTTCATCACTGAAGCAAACACTTCTTCTATTAGTTTGAGAGTAAAATGTTGATTAATTTAAGTTTTTGTAATGCTCAATGGCATTTTTATATTTTTTGTTTTTTTGATTTGTAAAAATTAAAGTTTAACTTTAAATGAAAAAGTTAAATAGGTATTTTTTTTTATTTTTAGCTAAAACAGGCAGGCTTACATGTATAATAGTGAAGTACGAGTATGCTGAGTATAAATCTTAAAAAATGACCCAGGAACTCAGAAATTAAAAGGGTCTTACTTATACAGATTTTTTTACATTTTTTTTTTTACAAAACCGAATACCACATATTTAATTCTTAAATGTATTAAATTTTAAGCATCGTTGTGTTGTCACACATGTACATTACTTCAAATTGGCAATTAATACGTCAAATAAATAGGAATTAGTATTGTTTTTTATGCTTTAAATTTTCATGAAAAATTCTGAATCAGTTGCCGATTTGGGGTTACATGGAGCATTTAGAATGAGAATATAAATAAAAAAGTAGGTAGTGGCTAGGACATGATTGACAGGAAAATAGGCAACAAATACAGATTTAAAAACAAATAGATTTAAGTGTCGCATATTATATTGAGCTGAGCTCTTCATGTCAAATTGTTTTATTTTTCTTTATTTTATTTTTTTTTTATTTTCTTTTGTTTTTATGGTTTGATAATGTCGTTGCATGAAGTTAAAAGTCTTGGAAAATGCAAAAAAAAAAAAAAAAAAAAGTCCCGAAATCAAACTCATACAAATTCAAACACTTTTGATAAATTTTGAGAATATTTTTTTGCTTTCAATATTTTTATTATGAATCTGAATTCATTCAGTTTATTCAATGTAATTTGAAAATAATTGTTTTTCATATGATCATACAGTAGATAAATCGATTCCAACATCTTCTGCATTCGATGTGACCCTTATGTACAAACTGTTGAGGAACTACGGTCCAAACCTTCCTACCCCGACCAAAGGCTGGGGAAAGACACCGGAACCGGGAAAGAAAACTCCAACTGATGACGTAGAGAGAATCCGAGTTTATAGGAACGAGGCTGAACATAAAACTCCGTCAACCAGTGTCATGGAGAAAGAGGAATGCCGTGTGAAGTGGAGAGATTTGTGTCAGGTAATTTATCATAAATCTAAATTAACATCTACCTATTGTAGGTTAAAGGTGAAAAAAGAAAAAATAAATTAAAGTGTTCGCACCATTCATATAATTTACTTTGAATTGTATCAATATTACTAAGGTATTCCTTTACCGCATTGCAATGTATTTTCAACTAGTGGCTGCTTATATTTTGCTTAATTAATACAAGAAAGAAGAACTTCCTTTCTATCGATCTATAGGCTAGAAGGCTTGCAAATGACACCTTTTTGTTTATGTACGTAAATCGGTAGTGATTTATTAGAATGTATTCCCGTCTTGTTGATGGAAATTAGAAATTAGAAGTATTATGACGACCAGTTATTACATTTCTTTAGGAGAAACAGATATATCTGCCAATTTTCTTGTAAACTCAACCTATCAGCTTTAATGGTATATAATCTATAACAGAACAGCTTTATAAAGTCAAAATTTCTACAATATTGTTTATACAGGCAATACTACGACTTAGCGAAGGAAGCCTGGAACAAGATATAATGGAACTCATGTACTGAGGCATCAAGACTGAGATAGGGATAGCGTCAGGTTGCATTAACAACAAAGTTTTGCATCACCATCAGACGTTTATTCTTGCCACAACTTTTCTTTAGTGAAGATTTTTGTGATTTATTTTCTGTGAAAAGTGTAAACTTTCCAATCAACAAACTGATACATCTACCGTGTAAGCAGAAACTTTAACAAGGATTTTTTTTTGGCATGATAAGCGAAGGTGCTGAGACCGGTAAATTGATTCTCGTTAAAAATTAATTGTTTTTTGATATCGCTTAAATTATTTTCGCTAAAAATGAAATACCTATTTTTTAAGGCTAAATCGATAAATATGTCTCTCGCTAAAATTTCCACTTATACAGTATATTAAGTGCACGATGGACATTTATAGAAATAAGGACATTTGGCTGTCTGTGTGTCTATTTGTCTTGTCTTTGAGTCTTCACATATTGATAAAACTAAAATGTAAATTCTTCATGGCACGTGATCCAGTCTTTGATGTTTCGGAGGTTTGTGTTTGCTCTGCTCCTATCTTGTATTGTTTATTAGTCTTTAAAGCTTGAATTCTGTCCATTATATCCGTAATTGTCTTGTATAATTAGCGTATGTACATGTAATAAACAAATGTAAATTGTATGAAGAATATAAAATACTTCACAAACAAGAGGCCCACGGGCCTTATAGGTCACCTGAGTATCATAATGTAACAACTTTCCAGCGATCGTATTTGGTTCGTGTTTTAATCCAAAAGCCATGAAATTCACAAATTTTGAAAGAGGCACCATTGCTTATCAAAGGGCAGATTTCAAAGCATTAATTTATTTTTAGTCAAAGTACCCCCATGGTACCCCTGACCCAGTGGCCCTGAATTTATCTATTTTGAAAGAGGCCCCTCTCTTCATTATAAGGCCAGCATTTTTTTTATGTTTAGGTTTAGTTATGAACATGAGAATAAAAAAGTCTCGAAGGAAAAGGAAATAAAAAAAAATTTGATAAATCAATTGTACATTCTTTTTTTTATGCTATTCTAATAGGCTCCTTACCACTGGACACATAATGCTTACAAATAGGAAAGTAGAACATTTAATTGCCTTAATAGTTGAATTTTTTTTTTATTTCTTCAGGTTATTGTTCATTTCTTCTGACCTCAAATGGACTTAACTTCTCCCATAGTTTTATTTATTACATCTGATGCATAAGCAACCCTTATCTGAAGAATGATGCTTAGACTGTAAGCTATGACAGAGACCTAAACAATGTCGCTGACAAATATGCTACCACGGGCAGTTTAAAACCTGGGGGAGGAAAATAATTTACAGACAGAAACTTGAAACGAATACATAATTATCTCACCAGCATGTCATTGTGCAACAAAGTCATCAGCATTTTATTTGTCCTTTGAACGGGTGAAACGTTTTGAATGGCACTCGTATCGATGAATTTTACACTAAACCAAGCTATCTTCTCAAATGTAGGCTTGTAGCTTTATTTACCCGCCGTTTCATCTTAAAACCGGAAGTGCGAGTTCGTAAATTTGAAATCTCGATCCCGACTCATATTTGACATCAGGAAAGAAAAAATGGTTTTATTTTTTTCTGAAAATTCAAAACCTTGAGCGGGGGCTTTGTACAACTGAAAATAAAATAAATCCTGGCCTTAAATATGTAATTAGATCATTAGCATATTAACCAGGAGCAAAGGATAATATGTTCAAAGAATTCATGCAATTCACTATATAATCATTAGAGCCCCACCCTAAAACAAGAACCCCTGACCCTGGGGCCATAAAATTCACAATTTTGGTAGAGGCACTCTTGCTCATCATAACTATGTACTTAGTTAGTTTATTTAATACCCAGGAGCAGAGAAGAAGATTTTCAAAGAAATCATGTATTTTCACTATATAATTAATAGAGCCCCGCCCTAACACCAGAACCCCTGACCCTGGGGCCATAAAATTCACAATTTTGGTAGAGGCATTCTTGCTCATCATAACTATGTACTTTGTTGGTTCATTTAATACCCAGGAGTAGAGAAGAAGATTTTCAAAGAAATAATGCTTTTTCACTACCTACTTATTTAGCCCCGCCCTAGCACTAGAACCCCTGACCCCATGGCCATGAATTTCACAATTTTGGTAAAGGACTCAATGCTGATTACAATCATGCAAACAGTTCGATTGCTTGATGTCCAGGAGTAAAGAAGAAGATTTTTAAAGATTGCATTAATTTTAGTGGTTTTGGCCCCACCCCTCAGGCTCCAGGGGGGCAGGGATCATGAAATTCACAATTTTTGTTCCCCTTCACCCATAGATGCTTTGTGCCAAATTTGGTTGAAATTGGTTCAGTGGTTGCAGAGAAGAAGCTGAAAATGTTCAAATGTTAACACACGACGAACGACGAACGACGAACGACGGACGACGGACGACGACGGACGAAAACGGATAGCAATAGGTCACCTGAGTTTACTCAGGTGACCTAAAAAGACAATATTAGTTAGAACAATTTATCAATGCTTCATTTTACAATGATGTACATTTTATGATAAACTTTTAAAAAACAAACTTCTTTAGTGAAATCGTTGACTGTTCCGCATACCCGGTATTTGTTACGATTTTTTTAATCTTTTGTTTTCATTGATTTTATTTTGGCGATTACCCTTATTATCATAACTTGTTTTTGTAAATATGTCTTGTTTAGAATGTCCTAATGAGAGATTCAATTTAACTTCCTCATAAACTCTAACTGAATGTAAGGAAATTCCTAAAAAACGGAAATTCATATTATAAAGCTTTATAAGCTAACATAACGTTTTGAATATGCTAGCAACATTTTCAATTACCTCATGAAGTTTCATCGTTATATGAATTTCATGTTATGTCAGATAAATATATATAATTTATTGATGGTTAGATATTTATAGTTAGGTATTTTCCTTTTATCTTTGCGTTAACTTTTTTTTATTTAAGGATATTTAATTTTGTTATTCTATTATCTTTCTTATGCATGTAATTGTGTAAATAGCTTGTAACATTCAGGATTGTATTCAAAACCATATGTAAAACCAGTACCAGGATATTAAAGAATTACTTTAGGTATTCTTATTTGTTGTTCATGTGTTTAAAATTAAACTACACAGTACTTTCATTTAAATTGTACTACAAACTACAAATTAAGCAGATAGCACAAATTCATTCAAATGAGTGAACATACATAAGGCTTAAGATTAATGAATGAATTTTAATGCGGAAGGCTAGTTTCACCATTAATTCTGTTGGAAAATCTCTGATCAAGTAACTCTTATTGCATGCACGATAAATGCAGATTCCTCATTTATCAATGAGTGCCGAATATGGGTCTAAATTTGA